GCATAAATATTTGGTTTCATGTTTTAGCAAATTTCTTAAGAGATTTCATATAAAAAAATCCCCAACAAATTAAATATAATTATAAGATAATTAAAAAGGTCCATACAATGGAACCTAAAAACATTCAAAAGTAATATTCTTGGAGGACATCTGCCGTTCCAAAGGCTTTCTTCTTTCATTTTTATCACAGTAAAAATATTCTGTATAATATTTTCGCAAATAGACTTCATTTAATAACAATCCCGATAAAATTATTATTATAATCACTAATTTATTGATTATTAGATATTTCAAAAGGTGTTTTATATTGATTCTAAGAATATTCATATCTATATAATATATCTAATATCTATACTTCTAGAGATTATCTTTGATTATAAAGGCTTCTTGCATCATTATCGCAATGCGAACATTTTGTACTATTTGTTTTTAGGTTAGATCCACTATGGAACCTATACTTCATATAATACTAATCCAGAGCTACCATAAAATATTGAACCACTTTAATTTCTTTGTCTAAGATTCACGCTTTGACTCATATTTGAAGGGCCATCAATAATTTTAAGCACAAAACCTATTTGTTTTGACTTGACTTAAACTTTGTCCATTTGTTTTGGCTTATCAAGTCAGCTCAGATGAGCTCAGATCAGCTCAGTTCAGCTAACAGCGGAAACTTGACCATTGGTTTGGGCGTCAGTTGTTGGTGCTGATAAACCTAAAAATTGGAATTCCTCGTATTGAGCATAATGAGCCACGCAATTAAATAGAAATGCAAACTGTCCATTATTGGGTCTGGCCTGGGTCTGGGCCCAGCGGAAGCAAACATTGATAAGACATAGAAAAATAGACGAAAACAAACAGAGAAATATGCTGAGAATGTCCAAAGGAACCGCAGAAGCCACAAGCAAATAGAGAGCGATTCGGCTTTTGGAACATGTGAAAATGCATTTAGCCCTGATTATTTAGTTGGCAGTAGATGTGGAAAACATGAAGAATGTGAAAAATGTGAAAAACGCTCGCCTCGCATATCATTTTACAGTTCCAATTGTCAACTACCTGCCCCGACGCATACAGAAAGTTCCCCGTCCTGGATCCGCTGCCTGTTTCGACTGGGCCAAGCCCCGGCTGGGCGGGGCAACGTTTTTCGTCTTTGGGTCTAAAAATAGCAACGTCTTTAACGTTTGAGGCATCCAGGCAGCTGTGCGGTGGCACTGGAAAATGCGCCTGAAATTTGAGTAGCGCAGCCTGAAACCAGCCCTGAATCTAGAAACCAAACCGGAGCCAAATCATGTCGAATACATGAATTCTTTTTTGGGTAGTTTGTTTCGTATTTTGCTTTTGGGGTTTGTTAGAGCACGTTCCTTTCGTTGTGTCTTGGGGTTGTTGGCGTTCATCCTCATTGTCTTGTTATTTTTGGAAACAGTTTCTTTGTAAATGTCTGGCAGCATGGCAGAAAGAGGGAGAGGGTGCTTAGGGGCACAATGTAAACAGAATTTATGTAGATCAACGACAGATCGAACAAATGTGTCCCATTCGAAACGAAATCAAGGCTGCCAACTGGTTTAAGCCAGGAATTTCAATATTTTTGATACCATAAAACGATCGTTTGAGCGAATTAGTTGGATAAGCAACAGCCGAACCTAAAGTGAAACATATTTTGTCTTCAGCTCATTTTGGCCTATCTCCCCCACTCACGCAATCATATAATATTGTGAACAGCATTCTAATTTCCAACTCTTTCTTGCAGGGGCGCCTCACATGCCAGCGATCTCAGCCTGAGCGCCTTTGCCCAGCACTTGCACAACAATAACAACAACAGCAGCAATAACAACAATCACAGCATGCTGAGCGCCAGCAAAGCGGCAGCAGCAGCTGCTGCCCTGAAGCTCACCTCATCCTTCAACGACTCGTCGAGCACCGTGCTGAACCTGTCCAAGTGCTCGGCGCTGAACATGAGCAACGACGATTATTATTGCGATTACTATGTGAAGCCGGAGTTGGATCTATCAACGGGCGGCGGCAACGCTGGCGGCGGCGGCGGTGAAGGCGGCGGCAGCAGCAGCAGCAGCGGCAGCAGCAGTGGCAGCACTAGGCCCATTGATGCACTGCAGCCACTGCAGCCGCTGCCCGCTCATCAGCAGGCGCTGGCGCTGGCGCAGGCGCAGCACAACGACAGCCGCGTCAGCTCCACGCGCAACGACAGCGGCGCCGGGCACGCAAACCAGCCAAGCTATGACGACATGGACGCCAGCTCGTTGCGCAGCGGCGACGAGGATGGCGGCAATGCCTCCGATGAGGTGGAGGAGCTGGAAGCCATCGATGCGGACTTTCCCTATCCCATCATACTCGACTCCAATTCGCCGCGCAGCATCAGCGGCGGCCCCGAGGTGGGGCAGACGGCAATACCGCGCAAGCGTCGCCGCAACGGAGAAACGGATGAGCTGGAGGATGCGGACCTTGACGGTGACGACTACGAGGATCAAATGCTGCAACAGCACCGTCATCTAAGGCAGCAACAGAGCGTCGCAGCTGTGGCTGGCGGTCTGGAGCTGCCGCCACCGCAAACGGTGCGCGAGGTGCTCAACTCAAAATTCTGTGGCTTCATATCGGCCAAGCTGAACAGCATGGAGGATTCGGAGGCGGACAATCTAATGAATCGCATACTCCTCTTGGTTGTTCAGATGCAGCAATGCGAGGCGGCCAAATAGGCGCTGGGTTGGGTCTCTGGGTTTGGGCTGGGGTCCGGGTTTTGGGTTAACTCTAGTTTTTTAGTCGTAGTAGAGAAAAGTAGAGCTCATTATGGATTAATGCAGCTGCTCAAAGCAACAAGTTTTCTTGCCATTTATTTACATCTTTTGCCCTGCTCAATTGTTTTTTTCTCTCTCTCAATTTGCCATAAAACGAACAATTTTCAATGCCAAATTTGTGCCATGCCAAAAAAAGGAACAATACGTAGTTATACCAAATGTAGCAGCCCCTATGGAAAACTTCTTTAAAGCTATGCCCAAAAAAGCAAAAACACAAAGAAAAATAAAAACAAATACCAATATGAACTCTATGAAAAGACACAACAACAAAGACAAAGAAAGTTAGCAATGTATGAGATTTAGTTTATTATAAACGTTAATTTAGTTCTAAGTCGATCTACACACACATACACACACATATATATGTATATACATATATACATACGTACACGTATGTATCTAAACTGTTCCAGTTTTTCGCTGCAGCCTGAATCTATTCTTGAATCTTTTTGCCTTTGAATATACATGTATATGGAAAAATACCTTGCAACATTTATTTCTTAAATTCATCATTTTTAAAATAATTATCTATTTTCTTAATGCTATCGAATTAAAACAATTTAAAAATCAATGCTGGAACATGTCTATATAGATATTAAAAGCTTATCTTAGCCTACGTGTCATCACATATAACTGAAACTCGTAATTTTACGTTAATTTCTCCCTTTTTTTTTTAAATAGTTCTTAATTCAAGTTAATTTCGAACTGAAAACATTTGAAATCTTGCCAATGCGTAGAGAATTGCAGCATTGTGATCTTTTAAGTTCAATCTAAAGTGGCAAATACATATTAAATATATTAGCATTTTATATAAATATATTATTAAATCTATTTATAGTTTCTTCTACAAATATTTTCGTAAACATTTTCTGAACCGTTTGCAAAGCGTTGTAAATATATATTTATATAAATATATACATATATAAAAGAAAAGTTAAATAAAATACGTTTATTATAGAATGGACTTGTTGATTGGATTTTGTGTAGATTTGTAAAAGTTAACAATACAAATCATAACAAATATGTGTATAACAGACAAAATAATATTCATATATTGCTTATTACATATATTTCGAATAAGTAAGAAATTACTTTTTAAGGATAAATACGGATTAGCCCAAAAGTCTAGCCGTTAATATATTATAATATGTACTGCAATTAGAGAAATCGCATCTTTGTGTTGTACCCCGACTTGTAGTTCATCCCATATCCAAATCCGTGGCAATGTTTCGTTTCCAATTATCTATTGGTATCTTATCTGCCATCTTCACACAACAAACTGCATTTATCTTGCATTGTTATACGAACACCATTAAACATGCCAGACTATTAGCATATCTGACAAAAATGTGTGCGTGTGTGGACGGTTAACCCCTACTCGTATGGGCCCAACACACACATTTGGCCAGATGTCAGGCAGAAACCCTCAGGACGGGACGTTGAGACCATTAAAACGGAAGGCGTCATAAAAACCAGTCGACAATGAGACAAAAGATAAGCCCAGCAGCGCATGCGCCATGGGACAAGCATGAGGATGAGCAGCGGACGACGGCGAGGGGTAACCAGATGTGGGCATGCCAAAAGCGTTATAGACCAACTTAGAAAGAGGCCCTTAAACAGACAGGCCAGACGACGGCACAGGCGCACTCATGAATGAATGGACGGATGGGAAACTGAAAGAACAATGGGGCAAGAGATGAAGAGAGAGAAAACAACCCTCAATGCGGTCCATACGATCTGGCCCTTTAGACGGGTACGGGTACGGGTACGGTACGGTACGGTCCTCTACCTAACAGACTGCAAAAATACATTCGACATGCGCGGAAAATTGCCAAAACGCTGGATGCGACGCGTCACGACTATAAAAACTGGTTCCCTTGGTTCAGGCGTATTGTGTGTTAGCCTTGGTAGAGAGCGCCGCTTAGGGGATGCTGTCCGGGGTTCAATGACCATGGCCAGCAGCGTTTAGGGTAGCGTACAATCCGTACGATTTTGAGTCAATAAAATTGTTGGTTTTGTAAGAGATTTGCTGGCGCTGGCAGCGTCGATTCTTTTATGCCTGCACTTGGGATCGCCAAATAAGTAATAATCCCAGTCTTGATGGTGCGAACCAAACTGACAGTACCAATTGGAGATTCAGTCATGTAAAGGTAGTTTCCCAGTTGAGCAGATTAACAATAGCATTAACAATAGTTGAATTATGAACAACAATATATAGAGAGCTCTTTATTATTTTACTAAATATCCAAACACGCAAATGCTATATAATAACAGACGCATAATTACCCGACTTTGCACTTTGATATTATTGGCCAAGATCAACAGCAGGGTCCAGCTTTCACGCTGCTTATAGCGAGATGATCTCTGAGTACTGAATTTAATAAATACCTTTGAATTCTTCACAGATTATCACTCACCTAAGACCCTGTGCATGGCACATCTGCTGGACTTGAGCCCATTTAACATTTAGTACGGCTTACATAACACCCCATCATACAATATAAATCATACGACCTACCACATATCGGAAGCAAGTATAATCCTAAACTAAACTAAAACACCTTCAAAGTGGTTCCAGAGTTCCTGCCATTTGAGAGTGTTTTAAGATAGCTTATGATTATAGCTTAGCCAGTCGCCAGTTTCCATCTTTTGCGCCCAACTCTTTAGCCCTGAAGCGAGACCTTTAAGACAAATCGTTTAAGCTGCGCTTTAGGAACTGAACCTTTGTTAACTTACTTTAGTTCTTGAAGCACAGACTCGTGGCCTTGGCATGTGGACGTTTGAGGGAAGGGGTTAGTCAAGCTCTCGCTTAGTTTAAGTTCTCTAGGCACTTTCTTAATATCTTGATCTACCATGGTTTTGCTAAACTTGTTACAAAACAATCTACAGAAACGTCGTCCACACTTGTTTTTAGTTTGAGATCCATATTTAGCGGGAACATTTGGATAGATTAGGTAAGTATTCTTCTGGGTCTCGACGAAGTTGCGCGGGGCTTTTAGTGCTGATGTCAACGGCTTTATGTCTGATATCAGAGTCATAGATTTTGATTTCAAATCCTTCTTGTTCTCTTTCTTTTCGGGCTTCTTTTTCGCTTGCCTTTTGGCCTGCTTAAGAGAGCAGGTTTCATTGTCACAAGTTTTCAATTCTTTTTTGCTTGCTTTTTTACTCTTTTCATCCGGCTGCTGATCCCAGCATGTGCCGGTTTTAGAACAAACAGACTTACAAGATCGCATGTCGCATAATGTTCTGGCGTCACGTTTATGAACAAACTGTGTGGACATCTCTGCTAAGGTACAGTTGTACTTTGGCACCTGTCTACTTTGGAAATCCCCCTCCTTATTTTCCGGGTCCTGGCTGAGGACGGTAGTTAGGCTGTTTTGACGTCCAGAACTTAGTTCCGACTCGCTTGAGCATTCACATTCCATGTATTGCACTTTTTTGGCAGGGCGTTGTTGTGATTCCTTAGATCTAAGGCTGGACCTGCTAAACTCACAACCATCTTGAGCGCATTGCATTATCTCATTTTGAGGAGAACTTTGTCCGCTGGATTGATTTCTATTTTTAGATTTACTTGCCTTTAGGCTCTTTCTCTGTGAATCACAGCTTTGTTTGCATTCCTTTTTCGGTTCTACTCGTCTGTTAGGACATTGGATTTTTAAGGTCGGTGAAATACTTCCGGGTGAACTGTTACGCATGCTGTTCTTCTTGGGCTCTACTTCATTGTCGGGGGTTTGAATTCTTGGACTCGGTGAAATACTTCCGGGTGAACTGTTACGCATGCTGTTATTCTTGGGCTCTAATTGATTGTTGAGCGATTGATTTCTTGGACTCGGTGAACTACTTCGGGGTGATTCTCTAGCTCTATTGTTACGCATGCTTTTATTCTTGGGCTCTACTTGATTGTCGGGGTATTGCGCCATGCAGGTCTGAAGAGTACATCGTGTTGATCTCTTGATAGTCACATTATGTTTTACTTGATTGCCAGGGCACATCGTTGTAGAGGTCTCAGCGCAACTTGCTTTGCAATTTGTGGACTTGCATTCGCTTTGTAACTGATCATTAGTTTTGGAGTATTGCATTTCCGAGCCCTGCGGACTTAGTCTTGGTGATTCCTTAGCTTTTTTGATATTCATGTTTTTATTTTTATGCTCTACTTGATCGCCAGACAATAACGTTATGTAGCTCTGGGGATTACGTCGGAGTGTATCCTTGGCTCTATTCATATTCGTGCGTTTCGCTTTATACTCTACTGAATTACTGGGGCTGCTCTGGGACCTCCGTGTTGGTTCTGGAGCTGTATTACTTTCTATTTGATTGCTAGCATATTTCATTTTAGAGCTCTGAGGACCTTTTATTGCTCCATTGCTAGACTTTCTCTTTTTCAGCTCACTTTGACCCTTGGAGTTTTGCATTGATGCTGAGACCCTTGGACTACTACGCTTTGATCCTGGACATTTACAATCACGGACGCACTTCTCTCCACCCTCAGCTGCATCGAAACCATTTTGCATTCTCGAGCTTCTTGGAGAAAATTGTTGCGGCCTTGATGGTTTCTGCGATACACCTTTCTTTTGTCTATTGATATTCTGATTACTTTTGGAAAAACTTTTACTGTTAACAGAACTTCCGCGATTGAGACTTCTAGCGCTATGTACCCCATTGATTCGTGGATTTCTGTGTGTGGAATTTCTTTCCTTGGGGGTTTTTTTACCACTAGCAACACTTACAGCGGAGCGACTTATATTGGAGCGACAAGGATTTAACAGGTGACTTTCTTGGCTTAACATTTTCTCCAGACTAATTTTTTTGGGCTTTTTCTTCTTCTTGGTTTGGGCTTGCTCATCAATGTTGTCCTCGCTCGGCCAGGTCTCCGTCAAATAGCCCCGCTCATAGGCTGGCATTTTGCATTTTTCCTCCATACGTTCCTGACAAACGACACACGAACAGTTCTTCTCATGTTCCTCTGTGGTAGGTTGGTTGGTTGGTTCGTCCACGAAAGCTGCTTCCTCCAGCTGTCGCTGATGATTTTTACGCAAATTATAGCTACTCTCGGACTCTGCGCAGAAACACACATCGGCCACTTCGGCCAGGTTCGTGAGCCGACTCCTAATATCCGAGATGATCTTCTGCTGCTTGACACGCACATTGCCAAAGCTGTGCGAGTCGCTCAACAAGTTGGGCAGCTCGTCGTGTAGCTGGCTCTTATCGATGCCCTGGCTTGTGATCCGCTCTAGTTCGCGCAGCAGACACTCCTGCTCGTAGCCCGAGGATGTGGCTATCTGACGCAATCGGAACTGAATCTTGGCATAGTGCGAGGATATTGAGAATAGAGCATCCTGCAGCTGTTGCACATCATCCTCCAGCTGGCACTCGTAGTCCGTCAGCGGACGACTGACTACGCAACCACTTGAATTCATCCAGGTGTAACGACGTTTCTTGGTTAACTGGATTGTCGGACACTCGACGGGGCACTTGCAGTCGAGCTTGTCGCTCTTAAAGCATGACATTTTTAAATTGTGGTTTTAGTTCGTAGTGAATAATATTGTATAAGGTTTACGTATAAGTATTAGTGTGGTTTCAGTATTTTGGTAGTAGCTTTTAGAGCTGAGTTTGAAATTTTTCTCCATTTAGCATAGAAATTTTGAATTGTACCGAAAAATCACAAATGCCAAAACTTTTCAAGCTACAATGCCATATAAAGGAAGCCTTGAATAAAAATAATAAATCCCTCAAAATAATGTATTGTATTGTATAATTGATGAGAGGTTCTCACCTTCAATGTGCACGAATTTGATTATTTGAATACCTCGTAAACAATTCGCATAAGGCATATCAGGTTGAGACATGCTATGAATATAAAAAACCTTACAAGTGAATTCATTTTATGTCTTTGTCGCACTTTAGGTATTGCTTTCCTTTCAGCATAAGACAAAATTTGGAAATTTTAAAAATGCCTTAAATATCGAATTTCGAAATTTTATGTGTGAAGTTTATTTGAGAAAAACTGATACATAAACAATAATTAAATAAGACTACTAACAAGAATACTCTAGACTGTTACTGGAAGATACCTTGTAAAATGATTTAGGTCGGAGATTCTGAATGAGCCCTCAGGTAAAAGTGCACCATGAAAAGAAAAGGGACCAGAATAGTTAATACACTTGACAGATATGCAATATCATAGCGACACACTCGAAATTAAAGGAATTTGTCAAGAAGTCGTAAGGTAAAAGTGGCTGCTACACAAGAAATTCACTTATGTCCTAAAGCTTCTGACATATTTGTGTGTACTTCCTGATCTATGTAGACGCAGATAATTTTGTATCGCTTAGATACGTGAATATGTGAATATCTCACAGGTACTATTGAAGATACTATTGTAGATACTATTGTAGCTCACAGATAGTCTTGTGTGGAAAGTGTTGAGTCATGCAGATACTTTTACATCTCAGAGATCCATTTATTTCTCAGAGATATATTTATATCCCAGAGATGTATTCTTATATCCCAGAGAAACTGTTGTATCTCAAAGATACTTTTGAATCACAGATACTTTTGTATCTCATAGATACTTTTGTGTGGAAAGTGTCATTGAGTCATTCAGAGATACTTTTGCATCTTAGAGATTCTTTTGTATCCCAGGGGTAATTTTGTATCTCAGAGATACTTTTGTATCAGCTGTTCTTACATAAAACAATCTATCTAACAGTCTAATCCTTGTAAGTACATCGCTTTAAAGCATTCTTGTTAACGTGTGCTTCTATACGCATATCTTCCTTTGGTTTATACCTGTGGTTCATCGAAAACTAATTAAATGATTTATGATAACTAAATATGAATTATTCACTTCGATAATTAGCTCCGAAATAACTTATTTTGCATGCAGCTTGCATTATTTATATTATTCACTTCAATAATTAGCTCTGGGTAACAAACAACATAACGCATTCACTTTGAATTGTTAACATGTTCAGATATTACATATTCACTTCAATAATTAGCTTCTGTGTATGTTTCTTGCAAGCTTCCAGGTATTTACATATGTGTTAAGTTAAAATACATTCCTCTTTGTAGTTGGCCGTATTCTGAAGCTTATGTGTGCCTGCTTCTGCTGCTGCTGCTGCTCATCACACACAATCGACTTAAACAACAAACACCTGGCCCCAGCGAAGCCGCACGTTGCATGCAACACAACACGCCAAATGTGCAACAAGCTGAAAAATTGCCAGTTGTAATCAATGCCCGGTCCATCGGGCATCCCCGCGCCACGTCATGCCACGCCCACCATCCAGAGCCCACTTCACACGAAACACGGGGCGCCAAAGCAGAGCAAACTAAACAAATTTCATGTATCCAAAAGATTTAGTCATGTTGCGAGCAATTGATTTGGGGCCACCCCAAAGGTATCACCACTTGCGAGAGTGCTGGGTTGATGAGGGGGGTGCGGAGGGATGGTGGGGGGATTGGGGGAGCAGTTGGAGGCCATGCATGCCATGAAATGGAATGGAACAAAGGCCGCGCTCTGTAAGCGGATGAACGTGAAAACTATATACGAATTTTTGGGCATTTGTGGTCACAGGTGTGGGCCAGGTGGCGCATTGTCAGTTGTGCGTGCGAACGAGAACGAGGTGTGGCAAGGGCTGCAGAATTTCAAATGGAAAGCTGATTACCGTTAACAGTTTCAGTTTCAGCTTCAGCTGGCAACAGCGCCCACTGTTCTCATAATTTCTGTAGCATGCTTTAAGGCGCTCCCCCGCGAACTGTTCAAATTTTAAATCGCAAACCGCAGATCTCTAAACATTCCCGCTCTCCATAATTTATTGCCGAGCCGGCCGGTGTGAACCTTGCGTTCACTGCTTTTTCTTGAGGCAGGTTCATCCTTGTGAGCGGCAGCAACAGCAGCAGCAGCAGCAGCTGTTGTTGTTGTTCGTGCCACCGACGGCGACTGTCTTTTGACTTTCGCACTTCGTTTGCAGTTCGTGCTCGTAAATCGCCGCGTGGCGCCTTCGAGTGGCCTCCGTGCAGTTAGGAGTGACATCTCGAAAGTGTCAGCTGCCAGCAATTTGTGGCTTTGAAATGTGGAGCACAGCATTTTAAGGAGAGTAACAGAGCACTGTTAACATTCTGTCGGCAATCCAAGAGAGAGAGAGACAGACAGAGAGAGAGAGAGGGGGAATGCAAAAAGACGAGCCTACGCTCTTACATATGTAGGTGCTCCTGGAAGTTTTATGGCAGCTTCGGCGGAACCTTTTGGTATTGTGAAACACTGGAAGTTCGCTTCCAAGTGCTTTATAGCAACACGAATTAAGAGCGCGTATTTGTTTACTTAAGAGAGTTCTTGACTGGAAGCGGCTTTTAGTTAATTGTTGAAAACTGATAAAGAGTCTTTAAGTTTAGTTTAAATAAGCTTTAAATATATGTTAAATGAAAAATATGTTAATTTTTTAACTAAGTTTTACACAGGTTTTAAATATTAATGTGTGAATTAAAATTGACTTATTTATTTGCTTTCTTATAGTTTCTTGTACTTAAGCAACTTTTCTTAATATTTTTACAGCGCATTAAACATGTATTCTTTACATATCCCTAGCATAGCTCTGCTATCCTTCACAGCTGCTTGCTGTCAAGTGAATGTAAATTTGTCTAAATTGCTCAACTCGCGAAACATGCACTGTCAATTCCATTTTCCAGTTGTTTCCAGTGCATTTCCCGAATGTGCAACAGCATGCAGAGCGCCATAAAATAAGCATGAGAGTGAAATGCATTTTGAATGCTCTCCCACAGCAAAAGCACAACAAACCATTTATAATGCAGCCAAATATTAAATCATGTTTGAATTATTTGCATAAAGTTTGTCTTATTTGTGTTATTTTAAGAAAATTAATCAGATTGAGAGCTCTTTAAAACGGCAACAATAATATTAACAGCTGCTTGTTAGACAACAGTATTCGCACAACTCGTGTGCGGAATGTTTTGGGAATGGAACACGAATGCGTCTAACGGTAACCGGCGCCATTTCTCTGTTTTGTTTGCTTTTGGGCAACATTCGCCCGCTCGCTTAAGCTTCGGTTCGCATTGGAAGCCTTTGGCTGCTGCTGCTGCTGCTTCTGCTGCTGTCGCCTCTGCTGCTGTCTCTGCTGCCTCTGTTGGCTGACTGGCTGGCAACGGTCGCGTCTCGAACGAGTGCAGCGATTTTGGCGAGCTGTGTGCAACGGTCGCTTCAGTTGCAAACGAACGATTTAAGCGAAAAGTTCGAGAGTTCTCTTGCGCCGTGCGGCCAAAGATAGCGGCAACATTTGCAGCGCCCGAAAGCGCCAAGCGTATCAGATTTGACAAGTTAGCCAAACAAACAGGCAGCAGGCAGCAGCCACACTTCAAGCGAACAGGCGTGTAATTGTTAAATTAATAATATAAATATTAAAAAAAAAAAGATACGTTTGGGCGGGCACAAAGCTCAGTGTAGTGTACATATCCTTAGCTGGCAGCTGGTTTTTCATGCCTTTTTTTGTATATGCTGAACACAACTTGAAAGTAGCATCAGCTGTGCCGCATTCTGTAATGCATTCCATTTCGGTGCCGGGCTCCCCTTGCTATGCTTATGACAGGCATCTGCATTTTTTATGCACGAGTATTACGAGTATTATTTTAGCAGCTGTTGTTCTCGGCAGATGAGTTGGCCAAGTTAACAAGCTAACTGCAAATAGAATGGGCAGCCGGCTTTGAATCCCAGGCTTGTGTAGGGATAACTTGCACATAGTTCATAGTCTGTCACTAATTAAATAGTATAAACTACATTTTTAATAGGACTAATAGCCAGGCAGCTTCACAAAGGGCTGATTTAGCCAAACAGTGTGCTTTAAAAGTTTGAATTTATTTATAAAGAGCGCCATGTTTTTTTTCATGCGCAGTTTCTGAATAAAATATATTATATATTCCAATTAAAATAACCAAAATATATTCAATATAAAATTCAGTATTAAATAATTTTCATTTGGTATACGTTTTGTTTTTTAATTTCCTTGTCTAAAATTCTTTAATTTGTATTGTCAAAATGCGCCGCTTTCTAATTCTTAAAATCACAAATCTTAATTGCAATATTCTTCAAACAGCTGCCCAGTTTCTCAGCAACTCATAAGCCCATATAAAGTATATATATTAATTCATACAATACAAATACGAGTTTGTGTGTTATTCAAAATAAAAATCAACTTGATAGCGTCAGTAAAATAAAACGTCATAAATCAATTGAAAACAAGTGCGGATATTTAAACAATTAAAACGAAACTAAAATTTAATTCAACGAACTAAATTTAGTTGTCAAGCGTAGCTGCAATTTTTGGGTATGTACAAATTTATGCACAAAATTATTTATCTGAAAGTCGGCTGAATTTAAGCCCGTTTATCTCAAATCTGGTTAGCTTAATCGAGTAAGTTAATGAGCTCTGCACTTCGCATTCACGTGTATATATTGTGTGTGAGCTCTTAATCAACCTCAAGAAGTTTAGCAACATGCTTCTGCTTTGAAATCGAACAAAATTATAATTAATTACTCAAAGAAACTTCACGGCGCCACTGAGAATTAATTAAAACTCAATGTAAGATGTGTGTGTGTGTGTGTTTGGGGGTAAATAGTATTTAATGAGCACATAACGTTCAGTATGTCTATTACAATCAATTAGCTTTAGCAAAATTAAAAAGTAATCGAATTTAATTAAAAGTGTATTAGAAATGCGTAAGCAACAATTTTTCTTTGAATATTAAGAAGCGGATTTTTTTGTGTAGCTTTTTAGACATGAATTTGATAGCCTGACGTAGTCCTTATTAATTTCCGTGTATTTAATATACATTTAACAAAAGTTTCCCGGACCTTTTGTAAGGTATGCAACGAAGAGCAATTTATATGAAATTAATGGAGCTAAGCTTCAAATATAATTATAAATGAGAGGCTGCACTT